TTTATCCTTCCATCTCTCATTCTTTCCCAATTAATTCAAGCCAAAGAATTACAATTAAGTCCCTAAACTTTTTGATTTTTCTTAATTTGATCACCAAATTTAAAAAACTTCCATTTTAGTCACTAGCCCGATTTTTGGGATGTTACAAATTAATCCAACATAATCAACAACATTTAGTTCATTTTGGGTCCATAACTATAAGTGATTATGTTGGGTTTAGGATTTAAAAGTTAGATTTAACCAACTATAAGTGAACAATACTCAATTCAATTTGAAAAAAAAAATATTTTTTGACTTGAATTGATTCAAAAAAATTTGATACAAATTGACATTGAGTTGTAATTTCATAAGCTCAACTTAAAAAAAATTCAAGTTAAAATCGAATTGTAAAATATAACTCGAATATCTCAATTTTTTTATTAATTAGTAGATTAATTTTTAAGTTTGAGTCAAGTCCTTTGACTCTGTATGATATATTGTAACACCCCCGACCCGTATCCGACCCAAATACAAATCTGAAGTGTCACATTGACCTTTCAACGTTTTGACTCTTTGAAAATCTGATAATTTTAAATAATGAAAACAAATACTGAATATTTGTTTATAAACTTGATAAAACATAGTTACATGACATATCAGAGCATTTGCTATTTACACAATTATAGTGCATGCCAACAAAATTCAAATAACAAAATCTCGTACTATTCAAATTAGTATAATCTGATATTCTTCAAAGCTATGTTGTCATGCCTTTGCTTATTCTCCTTGCTCCTTTGAACCTACGTGTGAAAACACTTACACGCTAAGTCTTGGACTTAGTGAGGCATAAATGAGTATAATAAAACGCTAAAAACATTTACTTAAACATTTATTGGGAAACATTTAATACGGAAAACCATATTCATTTAAGAGAAAACATTGCATATATAAACCAATATACTTCATGAAAATATCTTATATTGTTACACATTATTCATTTTATATCAATTTGTTTTATTAGCCCAACGCATATCACTGAGAACTCAAGGTATGTGAGTACATTGAGGTTGTGCACTATAATTGCAGTCGAAACTACCGCATAAAATTTGCACCGAAGTGGCACATAGATTTGCCCTGAAGGACCGCGTAGAACCCTCGACTCTTGGCATGCCAACTATACCTCTAATTCTCATAACATATACTTTGAGCTTTTACCATTTAATTATTTCACATAGTATTATTCAATTTTTCATTTGTTCACATAAAACACATACTCATAATATTTCACATAGCATTGCCCAAGTTTATCATTTATTCACATAAATGATTTACTCATAGCATTTCTCGACTTATCATGTATTCCCATAGAACATATACTCATAGTGTTTCATATAGCATTATTCAAATTATCATATAAAATAATTTGGGTAATTCATAACCAAGATCATAATAAAAATAACATTTAATAAATCAATATAAAAAATATGTTTTTTACATAGTATTATTTTATATATTTCACAAACCATTTTATTAAAAAACATTTGAGGTTGACTCATCGCAAGTTATTCCCCAACTATATATAAAATAAGTAACACTCACATTTGCCTCAGTTAAGCCCTAAGCAACTCCTTTTCACCTTCACTCTATGTTTATACATCAATTCGTTCGACACTTGCTTTCAATCGTATCTACACAATAACATGACCACGATGAATATCGAAGCTCAATTAATGTTAACCAATTAAAATTTACATCAACCAAATAAAACACCTATTTTACAATTTCAAGCTTAATAATATTGGTACTCTCCACTCAGTACCGATACTTTCCTTCTATGGTATCGATACCTACCTTAGTATCGATACCCAAATGGCATTCTGGAATTCATATTCAATTACAGTATCGATACCATACTATTGGTATCGATATCCCTAGTATCAATATTACTCCTTCAGTGTCGATGTTTCATCCAATTCATATGGTATCGATATTATTCTTCTAATACCGATACTCTTTCCCATATTTCACTTATTTTACTTCGAAATTAACCCAAAATTCACCTAAATTTCATACTTCTAACTCCTTTCATGTCCTTAAACTCATTTACACTTATTTCAACAAACTTACCTCAATTAAAATCCCTTTGGCATCTAAAATTTTCCATAAAACACTTAAAACCAAAAATCATACCCAATCTTCAACATTGTTCCCAATCCTTTCTAACACTCCAAACATCTTATTCATACCTTTGACAAGTCAAATACACCTTTAAAATCTAATTACTAATCAAATTTCATCAATTCTCTTAAAAACCCATTTTACTAAATTACCATTAATTCATAAATCTTATAGTTTCTAATTATACTTAAGTTTTCCTTAAGCTTCTATACCAACCAAATATTCAAAACCAAACCAAAATTCAAGAAACTATCAACTTTAAAAATAACTTACCTTGGCAATGGAGTCAAAGTAGAAAGGAAGAAGAATATAACTCTCTAGACTTTTATTTTCCTTATTCTCTTATTCCTCACATGCTTAAATAATCCTTAAAAATGAATTTTAAATTCATTTCATGCCAAAAGACCACTTTTCCCTTTCATTCTTCAATCTTTAAAAATAGGTCATAGACAAAAATTTCTAAATCAGTCCTTGAACTTTTCAATTTATCAAAATTTGACCGCTAAATTTTAAATCCTTACACTTTAGTCACTGGCCCGATGTTTGGGGTATTACATATATGTATATCACATATGGAAAAAATATGAAGAAATATATGTATTGTATATGGTTAAAAAACTATTTAAATTAGAACCAAATAATATTGTAGTATTATAAATATTTATAATTAAATTTAAATAGAAACTCGAAAATTCAATTCAATTTGACTTGATTTAAATTTTATAAACTCAAATCGAAAAAATTTCGAGTAAACAATTTTATAAACTGAACTGAATTAGAATCAAATAATATTATAATATGATACATATTTATAATTAAATTTAAACAGAAACTTGAAAATTCAATTCGACTTGATTTAAATTTTATAAACTTAAATCGAAAAAATTTAGAGTCAACTATTTTATAAATTGAATTGAGTATTTAGGTCTAACATAAACCTAAACCCTAAACCCAACATAATCACTTATTGTTCACTTATAGTTTGTTAAATTTTTTCAAAACAATTATGTTTTGATGGTGTAGGGTTATTGCTTCAAGTTCAGTTTGTTATGGCAAATTTTGAGAATGAATTATGGAGTTGGGGTTGGGTATGTAATTGAAGTATTTTGGAATTTGAGGTTTAGAATATAATTGAAGTATTTTGGATTTTGGGGTTTAAAATATAATTGATGATTGTGTTGCAAGTTTTAAAAGTTGGGGGACCTAAATTCAAGCGACTGAAAATTTCAATGATCATTTATATAATTTACCCTAACAACAGTGAAACTACCGTTACGTCAAGGACCATATTGCAAATGAACTAAATGTTTGGTGACTGTATTGTAAGCTTTAAAAGTTGGGGGACTTAAATGCAAGTATCTAAAAAGTTCAGTGACCATTTATATACTTTATCCTAAAAATTAAGCCTTGGGCTCCACTGATCTTGTCTATATTATTTATTCTTAATTAAAAATATAGTAATAAAATTAATTTTATATCAATAAAAACCTAACGAATAATATTTGAAGTGAAAGAGAATGTTGTTTTCTTTAAATGATTTAAGTATGAGTATTTACGTCTATAAGATGTGTGTTGCCAATAATGTAAAAAGAGTTCAAATAAATATTATTTTATAATCATTACATATTATTAAAAATGGATTAAAATGAATGAATGTTTGATCTATAAAAATATATATATAATTTAAAAATATTATTTAAATCAAACGCATTCTCGAAAAGCGACTAGTTCACAAAATAGTTATCGCCGACGATGATGTTATTAAAAAAGAATTCCCAAATTTAATTTGAAAGGATTCTTCTAGCAACCAACAATACTTTTCCCCAAAATGATGAGAATTTCTTAACTAATACACAATTCTCCTAAAAGGATAATATCTCATTACCAACAATAATTTCCTCTTGAAATAATAAGAGTTTCTAAAATAATGCACAATTCTGACAAATTTGATCCATATTAACGCTGAGTTCAATGTTGTTGGTACAAGTCGGCTAATATTGCTTGGTTCTAAGAGCTTATTGGATTAAGTGGTTTTACACATATTTATTCAGTATTTTACGGGAAAGTTTTGCCGTACGAAAACCTTAATATACGGTTAAAGAAAGACGTTACCAAAATATTTTTTTAACATTTCTAGTAAAAAATTACTTAAAATATTAATTTTTTACCTAAAAAATTAATGTTTTTTAACATTTCTGGTAAAATGCCTAATATTAACATTTCCGATAAAAAAAAATAATGTTTTAGTTAGCACTTTACCAGATATGTTAACAAACCCGATAAAACGCCCAAGAACATTTCCGATAAAAAAAATAATGTTCTAGATAATTTTTTACCGAAAATGTTAAAAAAATAATATTTTCAGTAACGTCTCTTTTCTTAGCAGTATATTAGATTACCGCACGTGAGACTTTCCTTATTTTATGTTTGTGCACAATTTGTAGATTTGAGTTGTCACTCATATTATGCTCCATGTACAAATTCCCGTTTGGCGTGCTTGTAAAATTCTAGTCTACACTCTACCCCCTTTCTTCTCTTTCTTTCTCATACCTCAACAAGATAAATAAAGCTGATTAAGGAAAAGGCAATAACATTGTAATTAAAGTTAACAGCCCTTAAGCAGGAAATATAACACCTAAACTCTTACAAAAATAGCAGAAAACAGGAACAAAGCCCAGTCTCTCTCTCTCTCTCTCTCTCTCTCTCTCTCTCGCTACTAACAGACTAGAAAAATTAAGATAGTGTAACAGAAATAATTGTTTTTATTTTTATTTTCATTTGAATATTAGAAGTTAAACGCATTAAGCACTGCAATTCTTTAAGTTCAATTCTTAAAAGTAAGCTCACATGGAATTCTACAAATTCAGTCCTTAAAGTTCCTCCTTGCCAAAATAAAACAAGTGGCAAATAATGCTTCAATCAAGGGAATTTAGAATACAGAGTGTTCAAAAAAATGGATAAGAATCATTGGAACCATAATAAAAGACGCATTGAGCAACCAAGAACAAAGAGACGCAGCGAACAACCAAAAATAAAAACGAATTTGGCTGGTAATCAACATGCACAACCACCTCTTTGTTCTGTCTCGGTCACAGCCTCTGGGATGCCCTGGAAATATCTGCAATCATACACAAATGAGATGTCAGTTATAAAGAGAAACATAAATTGCATAGCCTCCCCGTCAATCTTAAAATGTTAAAACCATCTACACAAGAAATAGGTAGACACATAGACCCAGTAATTTTTTAAGGTGAAAGTGGAAGAAAAAACTGTTCATTCTGCATAATTCTAGAAACACCATAGACCCAGTATTTGTTAATGTCGGAGAAAGATGATGTTTCCAAGGATATACCATTAACGTAGTCCAAACTATAAAAAGTCGTGTTGAAATGTTTCTGTTTTTCGTTTTCGAGTGTTGATGACATATTCCTTCGAAACATCGTCCTCTTGCCTAACAGTTATAATGTCCCAAAAGCTAATGATCATAGCTGTGCAGTATAAATGCAAGGCAAGATGATAATTATCTCGAAATCTGCGGTTATTGATGAAACAGTGCATTTTTTCAACAATTCCATGTCAGAACAACACTAATGTAATTGGAAAAATTCACTATTTGCTACAACCAGGGAATATAGTTCAAGATAAACACACTTACATGTCCTGCTCTCGCTCATTTGCTAGAGCAGTTTTGGCAATACAAAGGAATGCTGCATCAACATTGATATCTTCTTTTGCTGATGTTTCAAAGTAAGGCATGTTTCCTTTTGAAGCACACCAGTCTTTTGCTTTCTTCTCCGAGACCTACATGACTCAAAACATCACCTTTTAGGCTGAGGTGTGAGGACAAAAGAAAGTTAGGAAGTGCATATATCATATAACCTTACCACTCGACTATTACCGCCATCTATATCTATCTTGTTTCCAAGCAATGTAAAGGGAAACGTCCCGGGGTCAGTTGGATTTGCCTGGCAATGAAAATGAAAACATAAACCATATCAACATTCAAAACAAATGGATATCACTTTTTCAAAGAAATTAATATACAATTTAGAGAAATGAAAACCATAAAAATAAGAGTAAGCAACCTCAGAAATTGGCTGCTAGGAAAGATCATGCACATTGGAACGTCAGCAGGTTACATATGTTTCGTAACCCATTCCTAACTAGACAAGCATTAACGTAATGCAACTAGGCAAAGGTAAAAAATCACACTCCATGATAGTGCATTCCTTAAATGTGCTGTTACATTACTCATAACTACTAAGATGCTCTTTTTGATCCGTTTACTTAAACCCATATTGCTCCTTTAAACCAGCCTTGACTAGATAACTAACGAATTCTTGGGAAAATGCATCTATGACCAAGAAAAAAAATTGGGCAAAAAAGTAGACCAAAATCAGGAGATTGGTATGCACATTTGAGGTTATATCTTTCACTCCTGTGGCCAAATGTAATTGTTCAACATATTTCAAAATAAATTTGTAATACTGTGTGTTTTATTCCTGTTAGCAAAGTGAAAAAAATGAATGACCATATTATGGTCATGTATTTGAGATTAATAGTTCAGCTCATCAAAGCAAGACCGATACCTCTCTGTTCATTGAAAGGGAGACTAAAATCTCCGGACTTGTTATAGAGATATCAAGATTTCTTTAGGGTTTTGATTGAGACATTCTGCTTAGGGTTTATTATTCCATACGTCCCTTTAAATAAGGTCCAATCTTAGTTGGGAAACCTATTCTACAAATGGCATTAATTAATTGAAATAAAATTGCGATCATAAATAATAAGAAAAGAAACAAAATAGCAACATGAGCCTTAATTACAGATGCGAAATTAATGGCCTTTCCTAACATAGATTCGGCCCATAACAGACCATGAAATCAAGAAAAATGAAGACAAGTTGACAAGGAGAAGGACAAAACCGGTTATGATACCAGATCTTTCTCTGTATACCTTAAAGAGAGTGTATTTATATACACATCTACTGAAACTAAAGAATCAAATAAAATCAAGCTATCTATAGTCAGCCTTATAACTGGGTAAACCAAATATTTACTTACAATATTTACAACAAAAACAGCAGGTAAGAGGGAATATTCCAAAACAATTCATGAGTCCAACCACAATCTGCCAAAACTAGGCTGAATAATGTACTTGAACTTATGCAACCATTGGTCATTCCACTGTCAATATCATAAACACTTGAAAGCAGACACTCCTAACCAGAAGTATCACATGTGTTTCTTCTTCCATTAGACACACAAAGGAAACAAAACTTTGGTCAAGGTCACTCAATAAAACACCAACTTGCAAGAAGATTTACATAATGTAATTCATCTCAAGTGCGCCTCATATAAGTAATCATTAACTTTTTCTCTGAAATAATTTTATCAAAAAATTATCTTCATTATAACAGATTGGCTTGAAAATGTGTTGATTGGGAAAGTTCCCTAAAGCGGCTTCAAACCCTTACTGAATTCACTAGCCATGCTTATCACAAACTTAAGGAAAACTGGTGAACATCAGTGTTGTCCAGGTGCAGCGCTAGACAATAAAAGTGTATCACCATTTTAGGAGAGGCACATTTGATAAAGTGTACGCTTGGTGCCACGTGTATTTGCAAGGCAATAGTTGCCAAATAAAAAGGCTACTTGACTCTGAAGCTCCTGCATTTCTTTTATTTTCTTTCATTAATTGTACATTTAATAGTAAAAATGATACAACATCGGTTATAAAACCGGCCAGTTTCTTAAGTCTATCAATTCAAAAGAAATGATGACGTGCCTGTAAAGCTAAATTATAACTTATTTAATGTGGTTGGTGAATTACTTCATATGATGTTATCAAAAGCTGTGGAAATTGGCCTATTTCAAGGGTTTTTGTTTGGCAAAAACCAAAACAACTTCACTTTGTCTCATCTTCAGTTCGCAGACGACCTTATTATTTTTTGTGGAGCTTCCATTACTCAGATAAAGAATGTGAAACGAGTTTTGAGGATTTATAGCTTAATGACGGGACTTCAACTTCATTTAGCTAAAAGCAAACTTTTTGGCATTAATGTGGAGGACGATATCATGGAAGATTGGGCTTCAGCTATTGGATGTTCTATTGGTTCCTTTTCGTCTGTTTACTTGGGACTTCCGTTAGGGGCTAAAAGAAATTGTGAGAAATTGTGGGAGCCGGTTCTTGATAACTTCCACAAGAAATTAGCGGGGTGGAAAGCTTCCTCCTTGTCATTGGCAGGTAGATTGGTGCTTATTAAGTCGATTTTGTCTTCTTTACCTGTCTTCTTTCTATCTTTATTCAGGGTGCCTTCTACTATATGCAAGAAGTTAAATTCTTTGATGGCGGCTTTTTTATGGGGTGATGGGGTTGAGAAGAAGAAAAGGCACTGGGTAAGTTGGGATAAGATTTGCAATCCTTTGAGTTGTGAAGGTTTGGGAGTTGCCGACTTGAGATATTCTAATCGAGCCTTGTTGGGAAAGTGGGTGTGGAAGTTTGCTAATGAGAAAAATTCCATGTGGAAGAGTTTCATATGTTCCAAACACGATGTTAGTTGTAATTCCATGGATATTACCAAGGTCTTCTCCCACAAGGACTCTTGGATTTGGAGGGGAATTGTTAATAACTTCACCAAAGATGATTTTGTTGGAGGTTGCCTTAGAGCCCATGCGAAGTTACAGGTAGGGAATGGTAAATCGATCTCTTTTTGGAATGATACTTGGTTAGGGGATTTTCCTTTGAAAATCCTTTTCCCTAGGATATTTGCTATTTCTACAATTCAACGGGGCATGGTTGCTGATTTTGGGAGCTTCGATTCGAATGGATGGGAGTGGAATATTAAAACGAGGAGGAATATCTGTGATTGGGAAGTGGTTCAGTTGGTGGAGCTTTTGGATAGACCCAAAGACATTAAATTAACCGAATCTTTGGAGGATTGTTTGTTATGGAATGGAGTGGGGGAGGAGCTGTTTTCGGTTAAAGCTTGTAGGAAGTCTTTTTCCTATTCTAATGAAGATTCATTCCTGTGGAACAAATATGTTTGGATGGGTTTAGTTCCTCCTAGAGTTGAGGCTTTCCTAATAAAAAAGTATCGGAGAGTGGAATTGAAGAAACTGGGGGTTCCCTTAGGGGATGATATTCTTTGCCCTCTCTGCAACCACTGTGAAGAATCTGTTCAACATCTTTTTATTTCCTGTCAAGTTTCGTGGGAATTGTGGAACAAAATTATCGGCTTTTGGGGTATTTCGTTAGTTTTACCTTCCGATCCTCCCTCCCTTCTTAGCTCTTGGATAGATTTGATGCATTATTCTACCATGTGGAAGTTCATTCCAGCGGCAGTCCTTTGCTCTTTATGGAAATTTAGAAATGAAATCATCTTTGATGGTGGAAAGCTGGACAGATTCACTTTGTTTTTCACGGTTCGGCTCAGGTTAGCGAAATGGTTTCTAGCAAAGTTTCCTAATGACTATATTCAGGTGGATTCGTTAATTGGTGATCCTTCATTGGCAGACAATTTTTCTGTTATTAATGATTTGAACATGCCGGTGGTTTGTTGGAGTCCTCCTCCAACTGATTTTTATAAAATGAATGTGTATGGAGCTGTTTGTACTGTTGGGAGAATTGTTGGAATTGGGGGTATTCTCAGAGACTGGAATCAGACAAAGCTATGTCTTTTTCAGAAAATGTTGGTCCTACTCCTATCATCTTAGCAGAGTTGAAAGCCATCAAGAAAGGAATAGACATCTGTCTCTTCAGAATGGGAATCGAAGGGAAGACTAATTGTAGAATCTGATTGTAAACTAGCAGTGGAATGGTTGAAAGATCAAGCCACTGTCCCTTCTTTTCTTTCTAATTTAGTTAAGGAGATAGCATCTACAATTTCTGTGTATGAGATTTTTGTGAGGTGGATTCCGAGGTGCTGTAATTGCGAGGTTGATAAGCTAGCAAAGGAGGGGATTGGGTGATGGTAATTGCTGTTTCAGCGAGTTGGGGAGTTCAGCAGTTAGGATTTTTAGCAGTGTTTAAGTTTTATGTATCTCGTAGGACTATTTTTAAGTCTTATGTAATTCTTTTGCAAGCAATAAAGTCTGGCGCTCTTTTCCTCCTTCTGCTAGTTGGTTCTTTTACCCTACGGTAAAGGACCTCTAAGAGGGAGATTTTTAATGAGACCATCTATTCCTATAAAAAAAATAGCTAACCTATCTATATGTCTAGTAACTAATAAATAAGACTAAAATAATAAAATAAACAAGACCTTCATAACCTCCACCATAGGTTTCAACTTAAAACAGTTCTCCAAGAGAACTTCCAAATTTAAGTAATCCTCTAAATGCCTTTCATGAAAACCAGAATCTTCGGTCCTAATTCCACCTGTGCATTTAACTCCGGAAAATGCACCAACCGCTCCCCCAATCCACCTTGTATTACACAATTTGCAAGTCCAACGTTATGAAAGAGGTTTTCTTCCTCACCATAAGCAGATTCATGGCAAAGAGTACCTTTCGATGTGTCAAATAGGTTGTTGGCATCTTCTGGAATCTCCACCAGGGCTACCACCGGTTCCTATCATAGCCTAACATTAATGGCACACAACAATCAACCGCTCATCATAACACAACCAATTATGTTTCTTACTATAAACCCTAGGATTCAGTTGGCCTTTGATACTAAAATTGTAGGAATTATAGAGATATAATTTGTTATGATTTGATATAATTCCTTTAGTTAAGGGATTCTGTACATATATACAATCCCTTATTTTAAGGGATCACATCCTAGGAATAGTATCTTTCCTTTCTTAAGTGTTTCCTACTTTAGAGAGATAATTTGTATATAAAGATGTAATCTGTCCTGTTGAAAATAATATGAAAATACAGAGAATTACTCTGATTTCTACATGGTATCAGATTAGGTTACGGTTTCTTTCCAACCTAGACGATGTCCACAACTTCTTCTCCTACTCCGAAGATCACTTCGAATCCAGAAAATTTTTCTGGTTCTACTGCTCAATCAAAAGGTAATCTGGTCATGAAAGAACCAGAAGGTAAACCTCATGCTACAGTTTTTTTCTCCTCCCAGTTGACCCCTAATTGGATCCTCAATTCTGGTGCTACGGATCATAAGACTGGTAATAAGGATTTGTTTTGCAATTTTTTTTCCAAACTTTGGTAAAACTGTCAAAACGACTGATGGTTCCTTATGAAAAATAGAAGGACATTGCATTGTTATTCTCAATGACCAGATTGTACTTAACCCTTTCGTACCAAATCTTGCTTGCATCTCGTTTCCGTTAGAAAACTTTCCACCGACTTGCACTGCTCTGCAATTTTTAATGATATTGATTATACTTTGCAGGAACTGAACTCGAAGAAGATGATTGGTAAGGCCAGCTTGCAGAATGGTCTCTATATTCTTCCTTCCTCTACTAAAATCGAAATCTCGAAATCTTTCACCACTTTAGAAAAAGTTGATAATGTTATGTTATGGCACTATCGTTTAGGCCATCCTAGTTTCCACTATCTTACAAAAGTTTTTCCTGCTCTATTCATTCATAAAAGGTCAAATTCTTTTTCTTGCAAAATTTACTCTCTTGCCAAACATACTAAATCAACGTATTCTTCTACATATAAGCCTTCTCACCCTTTTGCTTTGATCCACAGTGATATTTGGGGCCATTCTCGGGTGAAGAATGCTGGTAATTGTAAGTGGTTTATCACTTTCATTGATGATAACAGTAGGATAACTTGGACTTATTTGCTAAAAGATAAATCTGAAACTGCTAGTGTTTTTACCCAATTTTATAACATGGTTTTCACTCAATTTGGGTCTAAAATTCAGCTCTTTAAATCTGATAATGGCAGTGAATTTTTTGCTAAGTCTTTGGGTGCATTTTTCAAGGAAAAGAGCATAGTTCATATTAGTTCTTGTGTTGACACCCCATAACAAAATGGCATTGCCGAAAGAAAAAATAGACAACTCCTTGAAGTTACTCGTTCTCTTTTATTTACCACTAATGTTCCAAAATATTTGTGGGGGGAGCCTTATTAATTGCCACATATTTAATCAATCGAATGTCTAATAAGGTTTTACAATTTCAAACACCTCAACCTATATTTTTGCAATACTTTCCCCATTTTAAACCTATCTCCTCCATTCTTCCACTTAAATATTTGGATGTACTGTTTTTATCCAAAACATTGCTCCTAATAAGTCCAAATTAGATCCTAAATCATTAAAGTGTGTACTGGTTGTGTATTATTCACTTAAGAAGGGTTATAAATGCTATCATCCTCCTTCTAAACGATTTTTTACCACTATAGATATAACATTTTATGAGAAGGATCCCTATTTTACTCGGGCTGAAATTCAGAGGGAGACATGGAAGGATTTTCAGTCACATCAGGTATCTCCACCTACTCTTCATTCTCAACCTTCAGAATTGCCACCAATTTTGTCTTTACCTACAGATTTGTCACCTGTAACTACTCCCATTGATTCACCTGTAGTACCTATCACTATTTCACCCACACCTACTTTAAACACCCTTTCTGAAAACACGCTTACTCCCATTCAAAATCTTCCACAAACATCACCAATCAAACAACTTCGTGTCTATACAAGGAAAAGAAAACATATTCCTGAGGCTGTTTTGAAATCTGATGCTTGACGAGAATTGGATTTGGGTCCAGCTGCCGAAATAGAAGAAGAAATCAATAAGTCTACTTCCCCTACTCTAGATGACTTCCCTATTGCTATTAGAAAAGGGGTTAGACAGTGCACCAAGCATCCTATTGAAAAATTTGCTGGTTATAATTCATTGATGCCGCCTTTTCAAGCATTTACAGCAACTTGGAAAACAGGTTCCCACAAGCATAGCTGAAGCTCTAAAGGATTCAAAATGGAGAAGGGCTATTGAAGAGGAAATTTGTGCACTAGAGAAAAATGCTGCTTGGACCATTACGGACCTTCCTCAAGGAAAAAAAGTTGTTTGTTGCAAATGGATCTTTGCTGTAAAGTATAACTCAAATAGTAGTATTCAATGATACAAAGCTAGACTAGAGGCCATAGGCTTTACGCAAATATATGGTGTTGAAGGAAGTAACAAAGTGTGCAAGCTCAAAAAGTCTCTATACGGATTAAAACAATCACCCAGAGCTTGGTTCGAGAGGTTCACTAAAGTCATTACGAAAAACGGCTACAAGCAGTCTCTCGTTGATTATACTCTTTTCATCAAGGTAACTTCTACAAATAACAAAGTTATCCTTATTATGTACGTGGACGACATAATTCTTACCGGAGATGATGAAGAAGAGATTTGCAATTTGAAGAAGTTGTTAAATGAGGAATTCGAAACCAAGGACTTGGGAAAACTAAGGTATTTCCTAGGAATGGAGGTGGCAATATCAAAAGAAGGATTTGTAATCAACCAAAGAAAATATGTACTTGATTTACTCAAAGAAATTGGTTTTCTTGGTTGTAAGCCCATAGATACACCAATGGAGGCAAGCTTGAAATTTAGCAAAGAAGATGGGTCCTTAGTAGACAAAGAGAAATTTCAAAGATTAGTTGGGAAACTAATTTATTTATCCCTGACAAGGCTAGATATAGCCTTTCCAGTAAATGTGATAAGTCAACACATGACTAATCCTACTGAAAAGCATATGGCAGCAGCAAATAGAATTCTCAAGTACTTGAAGAAAACTCCAGGACACAGCTTAATGTTTAAGAAGACACAAGACAGAACTGTTAAAATTTTTACAGACTCTAATTGGGCCAGAGACCTTACTGAAAGGAGATCCACTAGTAGCTACTGCACATTTGTTTGGGGTAACCTTACAACTTGGAGAAGTAAGAAACAATCTGTCGTTTCAAGAAGTAGTGCTGAAACTGAATTCAGAGCACTAGCATTGGGAATATGCGAAGGAATTTGGCTACTTAAACTACTGAAAGAACTTGGCACTAATCAAGAGAATCACTTTGAAGTCTTGTGTGATAATCAATCTGCTATTCAAATTGCCAAGAACCCAGTTCAACATGATCGGACAAAGCATGTTGAGATTGATAGGCATTTTATAGCTGATCAAGTTAACAAAAAGACAGTCACACTTTCATACATTCCTTCAGAAGAACAAGTTGCAGACATTCTTACTAAGGCTTTGTCAAAGCCTGTTTTCAATAAATTCCTATTCAAGTTGGGATTATACAATGTATATTCTCTAGCTTGAGGGGGAGTGTAGGAATTATAGAGATATGATTTGTTATGATTTGATATCATTCCTTTAGTTAAGGGATTCTTTACATATATACAATCCCTTATTTTAAGGGATCACATCCTATTAGTATCTTTCCTTTCTCAAGTGTTTCCTACTTTAGAGAGATAATTTGTATATAAAGATGTAATCTGTCCTATTGAAAATAATATGAAAATACACAGAATTACTCTGATTTCTACAAAAATTGGTGTGGCTTTGGGAGAAAATAACAACAAATTGAGAGAACTTAGGCTGAAAACGAGTAAGGTAGAAGTTGGACCCTACACAAATTGAGAAAACTCTAGTTGTGAAGTCTAGAAAAAAAAATTCATAGGAAATAATGATGCGGCTGTATAGCTATTTTCCAGCTTATTATATAGGGCTACAAATAAACCCTAAAGATCAACTTATATTCCTAACGATATGTCTATATCTAGTAATTAATAAATAAGACTAAACTAATAAAATAACATAACACTAAATTAGCAAAATAATAGTAGCTCCCATGTAAATTTAACAACTTTGGACCCTACACAAATCAAGTATATTGGCCAAAGAAATAAGAGGTTGCATAGTGGACTACTCTTTTGAGTTTATCAATAGAAGTATATATATTAAGCTTAGTTTGTATGTATTCACATACACAAACAAGTATATATAGTGGCCAAAGAAATAAGAGGTTGCATAGTGACCAGTATTTTGCGCCTAACCCCACATGCAGTGTAAGGGATCTATCGCATCAAATGCATGTTGCGCCCTTGACAACAGTAGTAATAAGGATAAATATCTTGGGTTATACTTCTTTCTAGTCTCTCAAGATATATATGACTAAACAACAGATGCTATTTAAGTAGATATAGACATATGGTTAGGAAAAACAACATTGAAGAAGTATTCCCATAAAGTAGGCTACTGTTAACATGAGCACATAAAATTGAAGAAGTTATTCCAATAAAGTTGAACCAATTCAAACTCAAACACAATTTTAGTTTTGAATAAACAAAAACCTAGTAGACAATAATATGTGGTATCGATTTGTAAACAACATTGAAGAAGTTATTCCCATAAAGTAGGCTACTGTTAACATGAGCACATAAAATTGAAGAAGTTATTCCAATAAAGTAAATGAACCAATTCAAACTCAAACACAATTTTAGTTTTGAATAAACAAAAACCTAGTAGACAATAATATGTGGTATCGATTTGAACAAGGCATGTGCATGCTGGGGAGATGGACGGGAGAGTGTTTAAAAGAAAATAAACAAAAGTTTTGATGGATTATTTATAACTTGCAACAATGCAAGATAAATTGCATTTCCTTATTCAGCCAGGTTGGGAAGGTTTTAAGGTTAGTTGGAGACTAAGTTCTATATATAATGCATTGCTAGCCAACATCCCTTGAGGAAAAGAATATATTTCTACTAAGAAGATTTATCATGGCAGGGGTAAATAAAAGCAGTTTAACATGCATAACATATTATTTGACATTTTTACAACTAAGCTGAAGTTAAAGAGGCATAAAAACAACTTAAAGTGGAACATATCATACAATAGGACAAATAAAACATTGTTCACTGAACAACTAATACGGACACGAAAAATGAAAGAACAGAGGAAGGGGCAAAGGAAACCTGTTTAAGAAACTCCTCGTGCCAATTATCAAGCGTATCAAATGATTTCATAACATTAACATCGTAAACTAGCACACAGCAATCGGCACCCCTATAGAAGGCGACTCCGAGACTCTGAAATCGCTCCTGTCCTGCAGTATCCCATATCTATCCAATGCAATTCACACCACACCACCACACACCGCAAAAAGAAAAGCATAAACATGCCTTCCATGACAACTTTAAAATTAAGCTATAAAGAACATAGATCCAGAATGAAAAAAAAAACTACCTGCAGAGTGACAAGGCGATCATCAATCTGGAGTTCCTTGGTGACAAAATCAGCACCAATTGTTGCTTTATATTGCTGACTAAACTTCTTATGAACATATCTTAATTCAAGCAGTTAATTCTAACAAGAATGAACCTTTAAATATCAATAAACAACCTAGGAATGAGCTGAGATTATTCAAATAAAAAAATAAAAACAATGAAATCAACTTAACCCGTAATACAAATTTTAATATTCAAAAAACAACCCCAAAAATGAACAACAAATTTACACATAAATAAGAAGATTCAAATTCAATTACTGTTGAAAGGATACTGATTCATCAACGACGTCTTGCCCACCCTGGCATTTACAATAACCCATCGATTATACAAATAATACATATTAATGATTAGTAAAACCCTACAAACTGAAATTAAAATTGAAAACGAACATACCCGCTGTCGCCCAGAACAATGACCTTGAGCAAGGTTCGTCTTCGCGTTGACATGGCGGTAAAATTAAGGAAAAATTTTCAATTTTGATTGATTGATTTACGTTATATATATATATATAAACCTTTATTGTTTTTTACACTTTTTAAAATTGTTTTGCCCTTCTGTGTGCTTTGCTTTACAGTACTTAAATGTAAAGAAATTCCTCTTTCCTTCTTTTACTCTTCAGTCTTTTCTGTACTGTATGCTTCTTTATTATTAAACAAGAAAAAGAGTTCTACTTTGCTGTTCTTTCTGAAAAAGACAAATTTTTTATATAAAAATTAGCTATATTTTATTGAATGTAATTATTTAAAAAAATAAATAAATAAAATAGGGAATGGCGGTGCCGTAGGTCGATTGCGTGAAGGAGGTGAGTGGTGAGCTAGGTGTGTCGGTCTACAGGTATTTTGAGGAGTTGTTCCAAATTTTTTATTTATTTTTCTCTTTATTTTAATCAATATTTAATATATATATATATATATATATATATTTAAAAATCCTAATGACTTATTAATATTCTAATTCTTATTAAATTGGCCCATGTGTTTTTTTAATAACATATGAGATGTATACGAATTATTTTGTCTAAAATTTTAAATGGAATTTACTTTGTTTAATTCTTAAAAAGTTAATTATATAATATATGTTTAAATATGATCTTCGTTTTAAATTATATAATAAACTTTAAAATATTCTACATCAATTATTAAATATTTAATATTATTTTATTTTAATTATTTCTTTGATATACTGTTAATTTATTGATTTTAAAGTTTTCAAGAACATATTATATTTTTATAAAATTAATATGTTTTTGAAGGTAACGAGAATTCAATAATGTGACTTTATTAAAAATTAATATAATTTCTAAGATATTAATATTTTTTATAAGATTATATATTCAATTTTAATGACCTTAAAAAATATATTAATTTTTAAATTAATTAAATTAAAGACATGTTAACGCAAATTTTTAAATTAATTAAATTAAAGACATGTTAACGCAAATTTTTAAAAGTCGTCTTATTTTTCTCTCAAATTTTACACCACACTCCCCATTATTTTCTTCGTTGTTTGGTTGGTGACAACATTGATTTTGATGTTGACTGTAAATCATTTATATCTATTATTTTTCTTTAACTTTTTCATATCGCATATTTGTTTTCCTTTGCTTTTTTTTAGTTTTTAATAACTATGTTTTTAAGGTACACTTATCTATTTATTTTGGTATGTTTTCGATCTTCTTTATCAACCTTTTGACTATTTTGTTCGCTAATTTTCTAAGGGTTGAATTTGAAGTCATCAAATGATCAAGATGACACTTTTTTGTTATCTCGTTGATCTTTCATGTTTTTTAATTTTAAATTGGATTTGAATACATAATTTGCATTCAGAGATAGTTTTCTGAATATATCTTATTCTGAGTTACGATTGACGATAGTCTTTCAGTAGTTCGATCCTTTATTGTGGTTTGTTTATTTATGCATTTATATATATTTTTATTCATATTATGTTTGAGTTTTTTGAATTTGTTTTTAATTTTTTATTGTATAATATTTATATGATCTCAAGTTTCTAATTTATTGTTTCAATGATTATAATAAATATGTATAGTTTAAGTTTATATTTATAAATTTTTATTATAATTTTATATATTTCTTATATTTTAATAAAATTAGTTATTTCTATTTACATTAAAATAGACGTTAACAAAAAGATCTACATAAAATTATGTTAATAATTTAATTATCAATATAAAATATTTTAAAATTAATTTTAAATAAAAACCATAATTTAAAGTTAAATAACTCGCTTAAAAACGCGATAAAATAACATCTCAAACAACCAAATTCGCATATTCCGCAATGCCGTCGCCCAAGTTTAACACACTTGCAATGTCTAATTTAAAATATCGTCATTGACTTAAGTTGTTTTGACTTTAATTATTTTAATTAACCATTTTTATAACAATATAAATATTAAAAAAATGTTCCTTTCATTTTTATAAAAAATATTTTTAAATAAAAAATTATTTCCTAACGGTTAGAAGTCTAAATAATAATTTATAGGCTTAATATAAAAAATGTATAGATTATACATTCTATCTCATTTAAGTGTCTAATTTTTTTTGTTCAATTTAGGTGTCTAACGTTTTCATTTCTCGATCGTAACAAACATTAAAAAGATTTCGTCAACCATTAAGAATGCAACACTTGATCACCTTTATAATTTTTTTAAAATTTTTATATTTTTTAATTATTATTATTATTATTCAAAAAATTCCAAAAAAAACTCTAAAATCTCAAAATCTTTATTCCCAAAGTATTTAACCCACCCGCCGACCATCCACACTCGCTGCCACCCCACCGGTGACCTACACATTGGTTGCTTCTTACCCACCGGTGACCTACACATTGGTTGCTTCTTACCCATTCACAGGCTGTCATCAATTGTAGTTTCAAAATCTAAAATCCTTAAATCCAAACCATAAATCCCTAAATTCCAACACTCATCCATCTCAATCGGTGGACGGGTGGTCGACAGGTTATGGTCTGTGGGTGAGTCAATGGACACTGACGATAATGGCGGTTAGCGCCATAATTGAAACTCGTAGGATATTTTATGAAAAATAAGAAAAGTTAGAGTTTTTTTGAAAATTTATGAATTTTAATTTTTAAAAAATCAAGTCACGTGTCAAATATTGATTGGTTGATTTATTTTTAACAATTTTTTTAATGGTTGTTACAATGTAGGTACCTAAATAATAACGTTAGAAACATTAAACATCTAAATTGATAAAAAAAGCAACACTTAAATAAAAAAGAGAGATAATTTCGATACTTATTTTTATATTAAATCAAATTTATAAATCAAATAGTAATAAAAATATTTTAAAAAGCCCATTACTACAGTGGGCCAATTTGACACCGATTTCACGTCATGTTTTCTGTTTGAAATTTGTCTTCATCATTTGAGTGACGTAAAATTCCACATTAAAAAATATTTTTTTAATTTTTTTCTCTAAATTACATGTCACAGTTTGTTCATGCATTGGTTCACCAAAAATCCATGTTACTCATATGTAACGACAATGAATAATATATAAGACAAAAAGATAATTAGTATACCAAAACTAATCATTCTTTTCCCGAAATGTCATATTATCCGATAAAGTATAATTGAGATATTAAATTGATAAAAAAATTAAATACCACGTATGATTGAATGATTAAATTAACAAAACAAATTATCGAAAAACCATAATATTAGATAAGATATAATCAAAAGATCAAATTATTATTTAACTCTATTTTTAATTAATGTGTGTAACATAATAAGAAAACTTCATTAATTTATCAAGTGATATCAGTAATTAAAAGAAATATTATTTTTCTATAAATTCTAGATTCAAACAGCTGTATCTGTAAGATGTTTATACGTTATCAATTTATTAAGAAAATTCTAACATATACTACTTCATAATTACTCTAAATTGTTAAAAAAAACTCTACAATGTCTATTTAAGCAACCCCATTGCACGGGGATTAATTTTATAGTATGTTAGGTTTGAGATGAGAGAACGTGTCACACACGATGTACAAAAATCATATTAAAATTATTAAGTTTAATAATTTTGCGGTATATATATATATAAAGGTGAATAATAAGATTTTATATTATAGGTTAAAAACTGTATTAAAAAATTAGAGGAATAAAACTATAAAATTTTATAGAGTATAAAATTAGGTTGTCAATAATAAATTCAAAATATAGTTAAATTATATGAAAATTTAATTTTTTTTAAAAGATACAATCGCAGTTAATATCTTCCTTGATCTATCAATGTATTTGTCAATAATTTTTTAAAATATACATGTTGTCGTAACCGTTCTTCGGGTGGGTTCGGAATCGAGTTTCGACTTAATTCTGATGTGTTAGAGCCGCCATCGACCATTTAAAATTAGGTTGATCGGACACCTTAACTTACCATTTATTTGATCTGTGTTTTTCCAAAGATTAATTAGATTCGGGAGTCGATTACAGTCAGAGAAGGATTAGCACCCTTGTATCTCCCTTTCGGTACCAATTTAATTTCTCGGTTGTCTTAATTGTGAAAATTAAAAGTTAAATTAAATTTAAAAGTTCGATCCAAATTACTTACCTTTGACGAATTCAAAATGGTCCTAAAAAAAGATCAAATTAATGTTAGGTAATAAAATAAAATAAATAAAATAAAATAAAAAAGAACAAATAAAAATTTGATAAAAAAGGAAATGCAAGAAATTTAAATTAAAGGATTATATTAGAAGGAATTAAAAAAATACGAGGATCAAATTGAAGTTAATTGAATGCTGCAAGGAGAAAAATCAAAGGTTAGGGGGTTAAATTGAAAAAAATATAAAAAATAAATAGGGACTAAATCAAATTAATTCAAAATTATAGGGCAAATTTACAACAGGTGACCAAAGTGAACTGAGTATCAAAATATTATGGACTACATAAATAATTAAATTATTTTTTATTTACAAACCGATCCCCCTATAAATAGCCCAAAATTAACAAAAAAACATTTATCCCCTTATTTCATAAAAAAACTCTCATCACTTCGCAAAAACCTCTCAACTATTCCCAACCGGCCACCCTTTTGGTCCTAGACAACCGTCGCTACCTCGCCACTCCAACTACTACCCCCGGTGGCCGAAAGACCTAAAAATAACCCCAAACGTTTCCCCTTCATGTCCCTAACCTAAAATCGACCCCCAAACGTCCGAAAAATACCCTTATCAAAGTAGATCTAAAGAGAACATGTTGGTTCTTTACCTTCTGTTTGACGACGACGAACGACCTTCCATCTTTCCAAACCGAGATCGACGCTCAACCTTGGTGCCTTTTGTGTTTTTTGGCATTTTCCCTTGCTGTTTGCTCGAAGACTTTGGCTATGGTGTTTTGTTATTTTAGTTTTTTGCTTTGCCGAATATTGCTTTATTTTTTGCCTTGATTTTTCATTTATGTTTCTTATTGATTGCTCGTATATTTGCTGTGTCGTTTCTATGTGGTTGCATTGGTATTTATATAGTCTCTGGTGGGGTTGTTTCTGATCGTTT